TCATTTTATTAGTTAAAATGTTTTTAAATATGTATTTAAGACACGATCTTAAATATAAGAATGTACTGTAAACAAGCCTTAATGCGCACTCAGTGCGAGCTACCGAATTCGCTATTAGTTAAATGATTATACGCGAGAGATTTTCCAACTGCATCGTAAATCTCTTGAAAGTGATGAATGCTTGTTTCTACACACTCAACATCAATATATTTCCCTTCAGTTTACATAGCTGACAAGGGACCTGATTTTATATTCCTTAATTACATATATCTATTCTTTTCTTATTTCTACTTATCTATTTTTATCTATCTAGTATCCCTATATTTATATTGTCTCTCTCTAATTGATTTTACATCACCCTCGTTATTTAAAAATGTCTTTGTATCTCTTTTCACAATCTTCTTCATTTTCACTCAATCTTTACCTTATCTAAACCTTATTCCCTATTACATAACCTATCCATTTTCATGTCCCATTTATCATGTCTAATTACAGTTTTTCTATTTTACTTGGCTACCCCATATCGTGTCCTCATACACAATACTTTAAACTCTGTCCTTCCCCTCAGCTATATAGATCTATCCCTTTATCTTTCCTTTTCCTGTCCGATCTCTTCATTGCTCTTTTTATCTTCTTTATCCACTTTTCTCCTAATTTTTTCCCATATCTTGTTAGTTCCATTACTCCATCTTATATTTCTTACTAATTCCATGAAGTGATTCCTCTGTGTTTTTCTTCATTTCCTACATGTCTTCTTTAGCTTATATCGCAAAAAAGTCCTTATGTCATTCTTTTTCCGTAACTTCTTTATTTTACTTCTTTATCTCATCCAATGACCAAATCTTTTCCCTCCATTTCTTATATCCTTTTCTTCTTCCTCCAGTCTTTGTGTGTATATTTCTGTCTTCTACTACGACCTATTATACATTTCTTTTATCGGTAAGTTCTTCTGCATTACCATACCAATTTAAGCTTGCTTATATTACCTTGCTTATACTACCCGTGTGTTCCTTATGACTATAATCTCTATTATTTATGTACTTTTCTACTCTAAATCTATTCTGTTGATGTTTTGTTTTATCTTTATTTACGCTATCTACACACTCATTTCTACATAATTTCCCCTATCTGACCCCTCACATCTAATTCAATATACTAAAATCATCCCAAACTTATGCGCCACGTTAATGTATCGATGGAGCTCGTCGATTCCTGCATGGAAGCGCGCAATTTTGGTAAAGATTTCTGAAATTTTATTTTTCTCTTGCTTCACACTACAGAATATATTGATATTTTAATTTTACATTGATATTTTGAAATTTAATTAAGATAAGAGAAATGAAGCCTCCAAGAACTATTCGCCGATATCTAGTGCGAAATTAGTAGATTTTATATTGAAGAATATAGTCAGAATTTGTCTTCTTGCGTTGATTTCTGTGACACGCAGATTGAATTTGCGGAGATACATCTTCATCCTTGCGTACTCGTCTTACCGGTACTTTTAGCTACAACACTTTAAATTACTTACATCAATTTGAATCGCTATATTTTAAATCAACAGAAACCCGCGCCAGCACGTAAGTATATTTATTTTCATAAAGCGCTAAATGAGACGACAAAAGAAAGCGCAACGATTCTTTTCTAGACCAATCCCGTAAGATTTATTTTCTCATCATTTTGAATTGTCCTTTTTCTTTCTTTCTTGTGAAGGAGAGCGAGAAAGTGTGTGCGCGCGCGCGTATGTGATGTGTGTGTGTGTGTGTGTGTGTGTGTGTGTGTGTGTGTGACTGTGAGAGAGAGACATACCTAGCGTCGCAATTTTGCCGACAACGGACGGGTAGATATCGATTTGGACGGCCAATTAGGTCTAAGAGGTCCTCTAGGGAGAATTTATACATGACTACGAGTCGCTCCTCCACCTCGTCCGCCACGGCCAACGTGTCATTCTTCTCGCTGCGTAGCCAAATCCAGCCGTTTCCCTTTCCCTCACGCTTCCACCCGAATCCCATCTTTCCACGGTCGTGGCTCTCTCATTTTCTGAATTATTTTTCCACGAGTCGTTTGCAGGGTCGAGACTCTGGAAACGGGGAGAAAAGAGCGGAGAGAGACAGAGAGATTCGTACGGTCGAGGGAGTCCGTATGCCACACACACACACACACACACACATACGCGCGCACACACACCTTGATCCGAATATATAGGCGATGACAATGCGACGATAGCGACGGAAAAGAGATACAAAGACGCTGGAAGGAGACGACAAAATAAAGAAACGAAAAATAATTCGGCCCGTATATATTCTCGCCTCTATCTACCGCCATATTTAGCACAAAGTATGGTCATCGGGAGTTGAGCTCTGAGGGTGGTCCTCGCGATATTCGTTAACTCGACGAACCGGTACGGAGAGAGAAACATGGCAGCATATTTTCAATTACGGTAAATAGTAATAAATGTTTATTATTGTACTTTTTTTTACAAATTTATTAATTAAAATATCCTCATTTCTCTCACGCCAAAATTGGACAGTCTATCTCCTTGACCACTGTTCGACGGTCTTCCTCGACTCCTTTTCAAACGTTCCATCTACAAGAGAGGCCATTGGGAGACGATTGAATTACCGTTTAGAATTAATCGACGTCCAAGGAATTGCCGCTTATTTGTCCGACAAGAGGATCGCGTCAGCGACGGACGAGGACCGGCAGAAAAGGGGCGGAGGAGGGGGAGTGAATGAGCGTTTAGCGGCAAATATGCGACCGGAATACAGGACCTTGGGGTCTCCTTAATCGTTGACCGTGCGGACGACGGAATTCTATAGTGGAATTCTACGATGCAGCCGATAGCCGATATCGTAGTCGGGCCGGTGCCGGGCGCCAGAACCGCCCTCCGTCCCGTAATCTGGCAGTGCATTTAACCACTTTGCGAAATAGCTGTATATCTCTCCGCTGTGACGTAGCATTCGATATGTCGAGAGTGCGGGATTCGGGGGTGAGATCGGTGTGAGGGTGGGAAGTGAGGGGTGGAAGTTCCCAAGGATAAAGAGACGCGAAGCGCCGAGGCGCTTCACAGCGAGGACGAGGGATGAAGGGCGATGGAATGGCGAGTATAGCGACGACTACGATATGCGCGCAATCCCCCTCCGTCATACCCCGTTTAGGGGTAGAAGGTTTCTCTCCCTCGCTCAACCAGGGTGGGGTTGCTCGTTGCTGCTGGTAGGGGTGGAAACGCTCCCGATTCGACTCGCCACGGAGGGCGCACGAGCCGACCGTCGCCGGGGAATGAAAGTGGGGGTTTGTTACAGAGAGAGTAGCCGTAGTGGAGAGAAGAGGGTGAGTGGTAACGAGAGAAAGAGAGAGAGGAGAGAGAGGGAGGGAGGGGGAGAGAGAGAGAGAGAGAGAGAAGGTAGATGTCAGGACGTTGGTGAACGTACGCGCGTCGTTGCCGCGGGGTGAAAGGGGTGGTACAGACTTGAACCGTAGTATTCTGTGTGTACACCCGGTATACAGGGTGTTGCAAACTATTCGAGCGATAACAGAAAAATCGTCTTTTTCATCGAATTTGGAAACAATTTACCCTTAGTGGAGATTTCGATGTTTTCTTCTTCTATAGTTTCCACATTTTGTGCTAATTGTGCTAACAAATATAAAAATTCTATTACCTAGAAATCTTATATATCTAAACATTTTTCATATGGATTGTTTAATTGGCGATGGAGGCCGTCACGTATCGCTATAAAAGTACACGAGTCTAGTTTCCTATCCTTAAGTAAAAAACTGGCCCCGACATTGTCTCGCATATCGTCGTTCGAATGTTTTCGGCCACCCTGTCGCAAGAATGGAAGAAGGGTGCGCCCTACATCGGCGTTTTCCCCTCTCCGAGTGAACCAGCGTGTGCAACGAGGCGCAGGGTGCGAAAGGGGTGGGAATAGAGGCGCGGGGTGGATAACGGATATACGTACGTACGAAGAGAAGATGACGTGAGATGAAGATACGAGGAGAGGAAAGCGCGAGAGAGGGTGTCTCTTCGTTTCACTGCCTAGCGTTTCGCAGTCCCGCATTTCAACAACGTTGACGCCGAGCATCGCTAGCGTCGTTACCGTCGCCAGTTCGACCGTTTTTTCACCCCGCAAACGCGCGCGCGCGCGCGTTTGTGAACGATAGATGAAAACGTAGATCGACAAAGTCGGACTGGAAAAAAGATAGAGAGAGAGAGAGAGAGAGAGAGAGAGAGA